CCCAATTTTTGGACTCGAAAAATTCGTAGAACAAGAAATTAAATTGATGTGGCCTTATCTATGATTTATAGACATGTGATATTAATTTTATATGAAATAGATGATCGTAACAAACTCATAAATATGATTTACTTTTGGCCAATCCATTAATTACTTGTGAGTAACTGAATTATTTTTGAATATATATAGACAAGAGATCCGGAATTCGTTAATGTTAATACGTTCACCGTGCAGGAGACTTATACGAGCATGTTTGACTTATATCTGCAAGTTTCTTTATATCAATTAAAGAAATTTCATATGTCTTCGAATTCTATTGTCATATAGTCAGATTTTAATTCGTTTATTCAACGGAAACTACAACGTAATGTGTATAAATGAAATTATTAAGTTTGTTTATGCCTTATGGACAGTTTTACTTCGATGATAGTGATTTGATAAATTTAGTATGAAAATGTATAGTTAGCTCTGTCAGATTACTGACATAATAGTACTTTTGGATCTCTAAATTAGGGCAAGGATATGAGGAAGCGGTACATATATATACTTAATAATTAGTTTATTAACGATGGAAAAATTCATGCCCTTTTTGTTACATATTAACAGAACTAATATGTTAATTGACCCTAAATCTTATCATCAAACGCATCACACAGTGCGCAAAACACATCACACTGGTTGCACAACATGCGTCCTGACTGTGTTTCATTTAATAGACGGGTGGTATGGAACAGTCCAATTTGTAAGCAATTAATTTATTAACACATCATATGTAGTTTTTGAACAGCAGTATTTGAAATTTAAAATTCGTGTTAAAAATCGGATGTTTCTTTTCATTGAGAAGAATATATTGAAAAAATGAAACTGCTTTTCCTGGGTGTGTCCATGATAGCACTTGTGGTTGCACCATATACTGACTCGGTGAGTAAAAATTTCAAAAACAATTTGATACACATATTTAAAGTAATGTGTATTTTGTTTGTGTACGTAACTTTTAACACATTTGAATTTGATATGGTCGTTAGTTTTAATTCTCGTCTGAAAAGCATCAGTCCGATTATTCATGTCTGAGCTTTTTATACATGTATAGTCGAATATACGGTATGTTTTTTTTTCATTAAATCATAGATATAATAGCCATAGATAAAGTACTCAGAATTTGTCACACTGAGCCCCATGTAATTTCCTTTGAAATATCAAAAGCAGGGCACTGCGCGTAGTGGCCTATGATGTAGATGATATTTGCCGACATCCTCCCAATAGACTAATTACTTATCATGATTATATTTAAATTATCGGGCACTCGTCTTATCAACCGATAATTAATATGCGTTACCTGTCTCAAGTAATAATATGCCGTGACGCGGAAGCAATATAAAGCGTCTGGTTGTAAAAGTTGTTCGGATTGTAATTTATTTGGAGAAAATCGGTCAACAAATGAAAAGGTTATGCTGTTGTTGAAATAATAAAATAGAGAAATCATGGAAAATGGACTTAACAGGCATGTAAAATTAAATTGTCATAGCACTTGCATCGGTTGCACTCGGAAAATAAGACCTGTATGATTGACAAGAGGAGAAATATCGTTTACTGATGGTATACGTGGTTAAGAGGTCGAACCTGGTCGAATTTATCTATGGCGAGTTAAAGAAATTTCTTTTTTATCGAGATTCAAAATAGTGTAATCATATTTTATGCCAGAAAGAAGAAATTATTATTTTTTAGAAAAGAAAAAAGATTTTTACAAGTGTTGAAACTTTCTGTTGTAACACGAAGTTTTAGAAAATAAAGAGAAAAAAAAGAAATACATTATAAACTTATTAAACGCCGTTTGGTGAAGAAAACGTATGTAGTGGACACATTAAATAGTTGGGAAATAGCACAATCATGTCTCTGAATTTGTTTCTTCTATATACCTTTCCGCTTACCATTTTTGTGCTTGTTTTGCTATTTTAAAAATAGATTGTGGTATAATCTGATTGTCGATTTCATTTTTGAAGTAAACAATATATAGATTAAGCGTTATAATGGCTATGATAAAATGAAAACATAGGAGTTTTGTCCTGTGTCATTCATGGTTTTTTCCTCTTCCTTTTTACAATTGTGTTAGAGGTGTGATTCGTACTATAAATACAGCTAGATCTATATATCCCTTCCGGCGCGGGACTTTTGCGCTTTTACATAGGACGTTTGTGCTTTTTTAAATGGACATTTGCGCTTTTTATACATATAGGACATTTGCGCTTTTACAATATTTACTTCTCATGACTTCCCTCCTATTTTATCCGAGCTTTGGACCTGGCAGAGTTAAAAAAAAAGTAGTTTTTTTATTATGGTTAAAAGTCATTACGTAGCACATTCGTGTGTTTAAAAGTCTCCCGATTCACAATTTATTAGATATCGATCGACGGCAATTGCCAATGAAGGCTAATTAACACCAAGCGTGACATGTATATAATAAGAGGGTGATAAAATTTCGGCATATATCATCTGCTTTTGATGTTGGTCCAGTACTTTATCTATGGCTATTATATCTATGATTAAATTAATGTTTTCATTAATGAAGGTGGCTTGCATACATCCACTTCATTTGAACTATTATAAGTATACCGTGGTTTCATTTGCAATTTGATTATTTCCTATATATACTATGTATGCAGATAATTTTCACTTCGAAGTTGAAAGTCAGATTTCCGTGTTTCAACTTTGTCTGCTAAAGCCGGGAACAGTATATCTAATATATATATGTACCCTCTTTAAGAAATGGTATAGGGTTTTAGAAACTATACAAGTAAACAAAAGAAACGATACAAGTTAATGTATTTTCTACATATAGTGAAATTTGATACACTGTACCAAGGTTAATAAGTGCCCAATTGGTCAAATATTAACAGAGTGTTATTTTCTCATCAAAACCATTGATTTGAAGTAAATACGCAATTTGTTTTTGCAATTTTTGTTATTTCAAAAAATCTTGCTTTCACCCCAAAATTCAAAGATAGATATTAGTACTCAACACTTTAAACTTAAACAATGCCTGCTTAAAATTTTGAATGCCTTTGCAGATTCTTTTAATCATATGCATTTGCTTTGCAAATGTATGTTTTTCATTGGATAATTTAACAGTTTTTACTTTTAATTATATTTCATGATATATTGGGCTTCAAACTTTTGTTTACTAGTATATATGCCAAATGATGATATTGTTCCCATGCAGTGTTCGGCGAATTAAGAAATGAAGAAAAAAGAAAATTCCAGTTAGACTAGTCCTGGAGCATACGACATCTTGCATGCGTTCAAATAAGAAACCTTTATAAAAATATACTTTAATTAGTTCTGTAATATATTCATTTGACTGATAAATACCAGAGGCATATATACATGTGTATATATACATACACAAACTGCCTGTTTGTCAGTACCGTTATTCTCATACTGCAGTATGTACATGTACATTTGAATAAAAACGGGAGTTTTCTTACTTAGAGACTTTCTAATTTATATTTTGATTTATAATTTGCCATCCTGCATGTCTTTAAACATAGCTAACTATGTCTATAAAAATGCACAAAACGGTCACATTGTATACATATCAACAGAAGTATCCCGAGATAATATAGTAAAATTTACGGAACATGATGTCACATGCGACGTCCACAAATAGTCAACTTTTATGCTTCTATTTCTATATATGTAGTAAGTATGGACTATTGACAAATTATTCTAAAAATGTGAAGAAATTAAACAAAACATTAGTTATTTGATTTTTACTAATGTGAATTTACGGCCTGATGCAATTTAGGAAGTCCTCATTACTGAATCTTGGATCGTTGAAAGGTCGGTTCAAACCCTTTTTTTTCTACGACTTCTCAATACCTCTAAATATTTAGATAAGACAGTTTATAAACATCTAAATTTTCTGGTGGAATTCTATGAAAAATTCAAAAGATTTCTTAATTAAACGGATTGAAACTGATTATTGCTGGTTTTAAATGAAATTTCAGTAAAAACTAATTTCTATTATACATCAACATATAGTGGGCATTGTCACAGTTGAAACAGATAGCTATAAGAAGGCGCGTTAATGTTATTCCTGTATGTATTTACGTCAATATTCATGTAGATAATATCGTCCAGAATTATTGTTTTTGAAGTTCGCTGAGAAAGCGACTTCTGCCGACATTGTCTGTCTCTCCGTTTCCGTTTTCATTTTATACACGTAGTCACATAATAACGTCAGAACACTGATACACATCGTCTGTAAACGACAGCTGGGTCAGCATATGGGTGACGGGGTTAACATAGAAAGGTATGATCGAATAGCTCTAAAGGGTTCTATTTAAGGTTCGAAATCCAAAACGGACTTTATCTCTCTGAGACACAAAATGCAGTGAATTTAAATGAGGATTTGGATCGGTAATTTTTCTCAGTTGTTCAGTTCAGTGTTGTATTTTTTTTACTCCTTTTTCTATATTCTGTATTATTTGGCCTGGGACTATTATACTAATACTATATATTATGTCCCAGATTTGGCCCATTCTTCATCTGTAAACCCCATCCAGACCTTTGTTTCATTCACCTGTGTGAACATATGCATTTGGGGATCAGGATTTTGAAATAGGCAATGATTGTGTGATGCTTTATTGTATATTATAATAAATAGAATATTTATCGAATCCAATTAAAGGGCCCGTTTCCGAGCATATATATATATCTATCTAGTATAGTATGGAGTATCCTTAGTTATTTAATTGATCATTTATATTTTATATAATATATCTCTTTAAAATTACTGTATAATTAATATTATATATATATTTAATTGATCATTTATATTTTATATAATATATCTCTTTAAAATTACTGTATAATTAATATTATATATATATATATACTCCATACTATACTAGATAATGTTTGAAAATAAATTAAATAGAATATTTTGTCTCTCTTCTACATAAAACAAAAATGTTTCTTCTTTTTTTTTGTGTTAGGTGGAAATGCCAGAAGAAAAGAAAAAGACACAAAAACAAATGCAAATGCACAAGGAAAACGGAAACTAGCCTCCAAAAATGGCCCATCATGCTCATCTCGAAAGAGAAAAAACACAAAAAACTCCTCACAGAATAAAACCAAGCAAAACAGTACTGTTAAAGTTTACAAAGATGGTGGAAAGAAACCAACACTTCAGCATAGGAAAAAAGTTTCTAAATCAAAAAGAAGTGGAAAAACCAGAGCAGCTCAAGAAAAGACAAATGTTTATTCAAAAGATTCTGGTAGGAATATTCTTTCTTTTATTTTATATAATGATCTGATTTTTAGCTCACCTGGCCCAATGGGCCAAGTCAGCTTTTCTAGGCTCCGTTGTCCGGCGTCTGTCGTCCATCGTCCGTTTACTTTTACAAAAATCTTCTCTGATGAAACTACTGGGCCAAATTTACCCAAACTTGGCCACAATCATTATTGGGGTATCTAGTTTCAAAAATGTGTCCGATGACCCGGACAATCAACCAAGATGGCCGTTATGGCTAAAAATAGAACATAGGGGTAAAATGTAGATTTTGGCTTATATTTCTGAATCCAAAGCATTTAGAGCAAATCTCACATGAAATAATTGGTAATCAGGTCTATATCTATCTGTCCTGAAATAACAGACAAATCGGACAACCCGTTGTTGGGTTGCTGCCCCTGAATTGGTAATTTTAAGGAAATTTTGCAGTTTTTGGTTATTATCTTGAATATTATTATAGATAGAGATAAACTGTAAACAGCAATAATGTTCAGCAAAGTAAGATCTACAAATAAGTTATAATGATCAAAATAGTCAATTGGCTCCTTAAGGAGTTATTGTCCTTTATAGTAAATTTTTAACAAATTTTTGTAATCTTACAAAAATCTTCTTTCAAACTACTGAAACAAATTTAACCAAACTTGGTCACAATCATTATTAGGGTATCTAGTTTAAAAATGTGTCCGATAACCCCGCCTGATAACCAACATGGCCGACATGGCTAAAAATAGAACATTGGGTAAAATGTACTTTTTGGCTTATATCTCTGAAACTAAAGCAATTAGAGCAAATTTGACAGTTGGTAAAAATGTTCATCAGTTTACGACCTATCTGTTCTGAAATTTTCAGACGACCAGACAAGCCGTTGTTGGGTTGCAATTGCTGCCCCTGAATTAGTAATTTTAAAGAAATTTTGCAGTTTTTGGTTATTATTTTGCATATTATTATAGATAGAGATAAACTGTAAACAGCAATAATGTTCAGCAAAGTAAGATCTACATATAAGTCAAATGATCAATTGATCCCATAAGGAGTTATTGCCCTTTAAAGTCAAATTTAACAATTTTTCGTAAATTTTTACAAAAGTCTTCTCTTGAAACAACTGAGACAAATTTAACCAAACTTGGCCGCAATCAGCATTAGGGTATCTAGTTTAAAAAATGTGTCCGATGACCCTGCCTGCCAACCAACATGGCAGACATGGCTAAGAATAGACCATAGGGGGAAAATGCAGGTCTTGACTTGTATCTCTGAAACTTAAGCAAAAGTAATAACGGTTGCATTATTTCATGCACCAATTGTAAATAAAAAAATCAGGTGAGCGAAACAGGCTCCTTGGAGCATCTTGTTGTATCTTACGACCAACTTTTACTAAGAGTTCCGAGAGACTGAACCGCAGCCATCTGGTTGAGTTTGATTCCTCAATAGATGTCCTCTATACTGTCTGTTTTAGCAATATTTACTCAACATTGAAAAATTTTGGAATGATACTTCAAAAAAACTGGTCCGTAACGGAAATTCACACTTCATTGAACACCTTACATGCTGTATTACCCAATACATTTCTACAAACAAAATTCATGTAAATTGATACCCCACGAAATCCACAGTTGTTGTTATTAACAAAGTTATACTCGTTTTTATTCAGATTTAACATTTTACATGACTGTGTTATTAATGATTCGATTCATGCACAGTTTTGAACTTTTTGTCTAATTGTTTTTTACAGTTTATCATCTTCACTTGCCAATGGTTACGATGTCATGCCCATTTCAACTACATCTTTCTGGTAACAAGATCGCAATTATTTGTTTAAATTTTACCAGCAATTTTTTTAAGATGGTACTCAGAATAGAATCTTGTATGGGTTCTGATTGGACGATACAGGATTGCAATTACTCCTAATTGAAAGCTTTTCCAATTTGGTGTAAAAAATCCAGAAAATCAAATTCACATTTTTCAAATTATAGAAAATATGTTCAAAATCTGCACCTCAAGGTCATTAAAATTTGCTTTTTTAAGCGAAAAAGAAGACGTTTTCAACTGCATTTTAATATAAAAAAAAGAAGATGTGGTATGTTTGCCAATGAGACAACTCTCCACAAGAGACCAAATGACACAGAAATTAACAACTATAGGTCACCGTATGTCCTTCAACAATGAGCAAACCCCATACCCCATAGTCAGCTATAAAAGGCCACGAAATGACAAATGTAAAACAATTCAAACGAGAAAACCAACGGCCTAATTCATGTACAAAAAAATTAACGAAAAAAATATGTAACGCATCAACAAACGACAACCACTGAATTACAGGCTCCTGACTTGGGACAGGTACATACATACAGAATGTGGCGAGGTTTAGCATGTTTAACAGTACAACATAGGAACGAACTATAAAATTCAGTTGAAAAGTCTTAACTCATCAGGTGGATAAATAGAGATACATATAACAATAAAATGCTCCGCTGGGCGCAGCTTGATACGACCGCAGAGGTCGAACCCTGAACAGTTGGGGCAAGTATGGACACAACATTCAAGCTTGATACAGCTCTGAATTTGGATTGTGATTAAATATTTGACACAGCATAGGTTTCTGACACAGAATGAATGTGGTCTAAGAACTTAAAATTTTTTAATTTACCTATTATGGTCCAATATCCAAAATCTAAATACATGGTTAGATTCAGCATATCAAAGAATCCAAAGAATTCAATTTTTGATGAAATCAAACAAAGTTTAATTTTGGACCCTTTTGACCTTAATATGGACCAACTTGATAACGGGACCCAAAAATCAAAATACATGGTTAGATTCAGCATATCAAAGAACCCCCTATATTCAATTTTTGTTGAAATCAAACAAAGTTTAATTTTGGACCCTAACTTGGACCAACTTGAAAACTGGGCCCATAATCAAAAATCTTTACACATGTTTAGATTCAGTATATCAAAGAACCCCAAGAATTCAATTTTTGTTAAAATAAAACTAAGTTTAATTTTGGACCCTTTGGACCTTAATGTAGACCAATTTGAAAACTGGACCCAAAATTAAAAATCTAAATACACGGTTAGATTTGGCATATCAAAGAACCCCAATAATTCAATTTTTGATGAAATAAAACAAATTTTAATTTTGGACCCTTTTGACCTCAATATGAACCAATTTGCTAGCGGGGCCCACAAATAAAAAATCTAAATACATGGTTAGATTCAGCATATCAAAGAACCCCATATATTCAATTTTTGTTAAAATCAAACTAAGTTTAATTTTTGACCCTTTGGACCTTAATGTAGACCAATTTGAAAACTGGACCCAAAATTAAAAATCTAAATAAACGGTTAGATTTGGCATATCAAAGAACCCCAATAATTCAATTTTTGATGAAATAAAACAAAGTTTAATTTTGGACCCTTTTGACCTCAATATGAACCAATTTGATAGCAGGGCTCACAAATAAAAATCTAAATACACGGTCAGATTTGGCATAACAAATAAATAAATGTGGTCAAAGATTTTACAAATCTAATGCGCCATACTGTGCAATTAAAGATTACTTCTTGAAATTTTTCAATATTTGAAATTTGAATAAAAAATCATATTTGAAGAATATTTCTTTTTAATTTCTGAAATCAGAAATGAGAATTACCCCCCCCCCCCCCCCCCCCCCCACCTTTTCCCCCAAAAAATTCTTTCCCTCAAGATATGGTCATAATCTAAATTCAAATTTCCAATGGAATTTGCAACCATAATTACCCATTTAAATTTACCATAGTGCTAACTTAATCTGTTTTATAATAGAATTTGAAATATGGTGTCAAATCTTTCATAGATGCAACATTTGCAGATCTTTTTACTGGTCTTCCTTTATAAATATGCATTTCTTTAAACATAATTTAAAAGCAGTGTAAGGGAAGTAATCAAAACGTTGTTTGTGGATTACCTCCCTTACACTGTTTTAAATTGTTTTAATTGTTCATAAACCATTACTTTATACATAATTTAAAAGCAGTGTAAGGGAGGTAATTTAAATGATGTATTTGATTTATCTCCCTTACACTGCTTTAAATTATGTTTTGAACTAAGGTATTTGTCCATATAAAAATGCTTGTTTTTTGCCCCTTTTTTGGCCCCTAATTCCTAAAATTTTGAGGCAATTACCCCCAAAATCAATCCCAGCATTCCCTTTGTGATATGGAACCTTGTGGTACAATGTCAGAGAGATCCATACACTTACACACAAGTTATGTCTGGAAGTTACAAAAATGCTTATTTTTGGCCCCTTTTTGGCCCCCTAATTCCTTAACTGTTGGTACCATAAACCCCAAAATCAATCCCCACCTTCCTTTTGTGGTATTGAACCTTATAGTAAAATTTCATGGAGATCCATTCACTTAAACTAAAGTTAGAGTGCGAAAACCAATGTGTCTTCGGACGACGACGACGACGACGCCAACGTCATACCAATATACGATCGCAAAATTTTTTTGCGGTCGTATAAAAACACAGAGTGGACGTGGCCGGATACTTGTATATCCCGACAACAAAAAGACACTATCCATTTTTGCTGCATGACCCTGTATATGTTTTTGACATTTCTATTAACAGTAAGTTCCGAACTGCTACCCATTTTTTCCTAGTTTGTGTAGTCTTCGATGAATAAAATATGGAACACCACTGGTACCCTATGGGAATTGCATTATAGGAATAATTGTTCTTTTGTAACATTCTTGACCAACGGCAGCACTTGCATTCTCTTCAGTGTGGAGGTGTAAAAATGATTTTGTCTATTATACATACATGCATTGTTTACAAATTCCTGGAAGCACGAACCAGAAAGATACGTTGATATTCAAACATTTGCGCAAGAAAGTAACACACAGGAACTTCAATTAGTTGATTGAGAACTTTTAAATTGTCACTCAATGTTGTCCTATAATGTTTTGGGGGTTCAGACTTGATGCACAATCACCACATGGCAATTGTTTATTAACATTTTCTACATTTACACATGATCACCTTAAAGGCCCTTTTTAATTGAATGCTGCAAGTTACAACTGGGACCAATAAAAGCATTACCTCATTTATCCAAAATTCTATCTTAAACTGCCAAGGGTGGAGAGGAGGGGACTTGATCACATCCCTTAGCTAGAAAAGAGGACAGATTATATAAGTTTTAAAATTTTTATTTTGTTTTTATGAATATTGGTGTATTAGTTTAGTTAAATTCATGCTTTTGATACATCTTTATGTTTTAGACAGAGAAAATAATTATGTGGTACTTTACTTTTTTCAGATAAAAAGAAAACGCAACAAAGAAACAGAAACAAAGTACATTCTTTTGTGTACTATTACCAGAGAACTGCAGGAAGAGACAAACAAGAAATTTCTTAGAACTACTTTTGATTTTTTGACCTTATTTTTTTTTTTTGTGGATATTGTATTGCAATGCAATTATCTGTTGTAGACTTAGTATTTGTGTTCAATTAATTGATCATATTTCATCTTGAAGTGACTTTACATAGTCCCATTACGACTGTTATTATCGGAGAAATGAATGGCTGTGTTGCACAATGTGCAAAACCAGCTAATAGTATTGTGATGTTAAGCATTCTGGTTAGTGGTTGTAGTGCATAAGGTAACAATTAGTACCTATTTTGTGAAATCACTTTCATTTAGTTTTCAACTCTCTATGTTAAAAAAAAGTCCAACAAATATGTAAGCCTCAAATCTATGGCCAGCCTCAAATCTGTTTTCCATATTGTACTGTGTCCTAGACGTCACAAATCTATGTCCTGTCCTTTTACAAAAAGTCATGCACTGTTGGTGTCAGAATTAGCAAAAAGTCTTGTAGGAAATATTTGGGAACATGGAGTAGAGAGGAAGTTAAGAATAGATATGCTTGAAAAATTTCTTTGACCAAATTTTAGTCTGGGAGTAGGGGGGATAGGAATCGGGGACGCATGTTCACCCCTTCTACATAGGGCCTTTCAGCTTACCACACATTAAAAAAGTGCAAATAACTAATTCTTTATAATTCCCCCTCTTTATTGCCTCCCTCTTCTGAAATATTAGGTCAGTTACATGTATTTGGTGTTTTGCATTATTGTTTTATATAAGATGTATGTGCTAGCCATTTATAATTAAGTGAATTTACTTCAGCGTTCAAGTCTAACATGAGTTCTCAGAAACCTAGTATCATGAAATACTTGTTTGAAATGTACTACATTTGTTCTAAATTTCTTAAAGGGATAGAAATTTTTGTATCAACAATTTAAAATGACTGACTTTTTTTTTATAAATGTAGAGGAATAAAATTAGCTGTGGGAAAAAAACTTCAACTAAATCAAAATTTATTCCAAGAAAAGATGGAGCCTTTGTAGGAAACGAAATGACATTTTTTTTGACAAAATAAAGTTATTTTTTTCCACAATTTCTTCCAATCAGTATCACTGACAAAAATTTAGTAGAACAAAATAAAATGATTGTTTTTCTTACGGGTGTAAAGGCACTTGGAAGAAATTCCTTCCAAGCAGTGGTGGAGCCTTTATACAGAATGAAATGAACTTTTTCTTTCTGCTGTAAAAGTTCTTGGAAGAGATTTCTTCCAAGATTGAGTCGCTGAAATGGAGTGACTTATTTGTGTTATTATATAAATATCAAATGTAAATATATTACTTTTTTCCATTATATGAAAAAATATATGAATTAATTAAGTTGTATAACAGATTATAATAATGTATTGGCAATTTTACTTTTGCAAAATTCAATTGAAATTTCTGCAGTGGAAAGAAAAAATACTTCTTCCAAATTTTTAAAGAAATTTCAGACTGTTGTAAAAGGAACTGGAAGAAATGTCTTCCAAGAAGGAACATTAAATAAGTGAACTATCTGTGTTGAACAAATGGAAAATAATTTGTAAATTTATTACATGTTTCTATATTTGTTTGAAGAAATTTTGAATGATTTAATATTACTTGGAAGAAATTTCTTCCAACTTGAGAGAGGATACAAAATGAAGTGAACAAGTTGAGTTTATTAACTAAAATTATATACTTTATTGGAAATGAAATACATTTTCTAATTTGTTGGAAGAAATTTCTTCCAAGGAAACGGGAAATTTATTTGAACAAAATGTATTGAACAAATTATTGCTTTCCATTTTATTAATTTATAGGTAACTGTTTCTTCATTTCATTGTGATTTGAATGTTTTGTAAAATATGAATGTAAATTTAATATATATATCCAATAAAATTGTCATATTAATGGTTTTTATTTCTCCATGTGTTCCCTTTGCCAGAGAAGAAATTTCTTCTAACACTATTGTTTTACAAAAAATACCAATCAAAAGCAGAATATTAGCATATGAAATTGCAAAATTAGGTATGTTCACAATAACAGCAAATTTCGACCTCTAAAAAGGACATTCTTGGATTTTACTTTTTTATTTTGGACTCTCTTCAATATACTTGGCTAATCGTAACAAAATCTTGTGAAAACAGCTTCCAAGGAAACTTCTCATGAAAATATAAACCTGAATTTTCCAATCGCGTGAAAAACAGAAACGGGCCTACCGTTTTGCGTTCTTGTTTTTCATAAAAATACTATTTAATATATATTTTATATTAATATAACGAGCGAAGAGGGTTGCAGAAAAGAGGTATTTGGAAAGAAACTAGAGGCTCTCAAGAGCCTGTGTCGCTCACCTGACTCTACTTTGGTTTTAGAAATCATGTAAAGATTGATAAAAATCATAACAGATACCCAAATAATGATTGAGGCCAAATTTGGATTAATATTGGTCCCGTTATTAAATAAAATATCCTGGTGGCCATCTTGAACAGTAAATCGGCAACAAAGTAGCAACACTTGGTCAGCACTTCATAAGGAACATTCATGACATGTTTGGTTTCATTCCATTCAGTGGTACTCTAAAAGAAGACATTTGTATGTATTTCCCATAGGGTCCTATGTTAAACTAAGCCCCCCCCCCCCCCTAGCGGCCATCTTGGATGATGGATCGACTGCAAAGTAACAACACTTGGTCAGCACCTCATAAGGAACATTCAGGCAATGTTTGGTTCCATTCCATTCAGTGGTTCTCTAAAAGAAGACAATTGTATGTATTTCCCATAGGGTCCTATGCTAAAAAAAGTCCCCCGCTGTTGGCCATCTTGGATGATGGACCGACTGCAAAGTAACAACACTTAGTCAGCACCTCATTAGGAACATTCATGCCATGTTTGGTTTCATTCCATTCAGTGGTTCTCTAAAAGAAGACATTTGTATGTATTTCCCATAGGGTCCTATGTTAAACTAAGTCCCCCGCTGGCGGCCATCTTGGATGATGGATCGGCTGCAAAGAAACAACACTTGGTCAACACCTCATAAGGAACATTCATGCCATGTTTGGTTCCATTCCATTCATAGGTTCTCTAAAATAAGACATTTTGTATGTATTTCCCGTAGGGTCCTATGTTATACTAAGTCACCCACTGGCAGCCATCTTGGATGATGGATCGGCTGCAAAGTAACAACACTTGGTCAGCACCTTATAAGGAACATTCATGCCATGTTTGGTTTCATTCCATTCACTGGTTCTCTAAGAGAAGACATTTGTATGTATTTCCCATAGGGTCCTATGTTAAACTAAGTCCCCCGCTGTCGGCAATCCTGGATGATGGACCGACTGCAAAGTTACAACACTTGGTCAGCACCTTATAAGGAACATTCATGCCATGTTTTGTTTCATTCCATTCAGTGGTTCTCTAAAAGAAGACATTTGTATGTATTTCCCATAGGGTCCTATGTTAAACTAAGTCCCCCGCTGGCGGCCATCTTGGATGATAGACCGACTGCAAAGTAACAACACTTGGTCAACATCTCATAAGGAACATTCATGCCATGTTTGGTTTCATTCCATTCAGTGGTTCTCTAAAAGAAGACATTTTTATGTATTTCCCATAGGGTCCTATGTTAAACTAAGTCCCCCGCTGGCGGCCATCTTGGATGATAGATCGGCTACAAAGTAACAACACTTGGTCAGCATCTCATAAGGAACATTCATGCCATGTTTGGTTTCATTCCATTCAGTGGTTCTCTAAAAGAAGACATTTATATGTATTTCCCATAGGTCCTATGTTATACTAAGTCCCCCGCTGTCGGCCATCTTGGATGATGGACCGACTGCAAAGTAACAACACTTGGTCAGCACCTCATAAGGAACATTCATGCCATGTTTGGTTTCATTCCATTCAGTGGTTCTCTAAAAGAAGACATTTGTATGTATTTCCCATAGGGTCCTATGTTAAAGTAAGTCCCCCGCTGGCGGCCATCTTGGATGATGGATCGGCTACAAAGTAATAACACTTGGTCAGAACCTCATTAGGAACATTCATGCCATGTTTGGTTTCATTCCATTCAGTGGTTCTCTAAAAGAAGACATTTGTATGCATTTCCCATAGGGTCCTATGTTAAACTAAGTCCCCCGCTGGCGGCCATCTTGGATGATGGATCGGCTACAAAGTAACAACACATGGTCAGCATCTCATAAGGAACATTCATGCCATGTTTGGTTTCATTCCATTCAGTGGTTCTCTAAAAGAAGACATTTGTATGTATTTCCCATAGGTCCTATGTTAAACTAAGTCCCCCGCTGTCGGCCATCTTGGATGATGGACCGACTGCAAAGTAACAACACTTGGTCAGCACCTCATAAGGAACATTCATGCCATGTTTGGTTCCATTCCATTCAGTGGTTCTCTAAAAGAAGACAATTGTATGTATTTCCCATAGGGTCCTATGTTAAACTAAGTCCCCCGCTGTCGGCCATCTTGGATGATGGACCGACTGCAAAGTAACAACACTTAGTCAGCACCTCATTAGGAACATTCATGCCATGTTTGGTTTCATTCCATTCAGTGGTTCTCTAAAAGAAGACATTTGTATGTATTTCCCATAGGGTCCTATGTTAAACTAAGTCCCCCGCTGGCGGCCATCTTGGATGATGGATCGGCTGCAAAGAAACAACACTTGGTCAACACCTCATAAGGAACATTCATGCCATGTTTGGTTCCATTCCATTCATAGGTTCTCTAAAAGAAGACATTTTGTATGTATTTCCCGTAGGGTCCTATGTTATACTAAGTCACCCACTGGCAGCCATCTTGGATGATGGATCGGCTGCAAAGTAACAACACTTGGTCAGCACCTTATAAGGAACATTCATGCCATGTTTGGTTTCATTCCATTCACTGGTTCTCTAAGAGAAGACATTTGTATGTATTTCCCATAGGGTCCTATGTTAAACTAAGTCCCCCGCTGTCAGCCATCCTGGATGATAGACCGACTGCAAAGTAACAACACTTGGTCAACATCTCATAAGGAACATTCATGCCATGTTTGGTTTCATTCCATTCAGTGGTTCTCTAAAAGAAGACATTTTTATGTATTTCCCATAGGGTCCTATGTTAAACTAAGTCCCCGCTGGCGACCATCTTGGATGATAGATCGGCTACAAAGTAACAACACTTGGTCAGCATCTCATAAGGAACATTCATGCCATGTTTGGTTTCATTCCATTCACTGGTTCTCTAAAAGAAGACATTTGTATGTATTTCCCATAGGTCCTATGTTAAACTAAGTCCCCCGCTGTCGGCCATCTTGGATGATGGACCGACTGCAAAGTAACAACACTTGGTCAGCACCTCATAAGGAACATTCATGCCATGTTTGGTTTCATTCCATTCAGTGGTACTCTAAAAGAAGACATTTGTATGTATTTCCCATAGGGTCATATGTTAAACTAAGTCCCCCGCTGGCGGCCATCTTGGATGATGGATCGGCTACAAAGTAACAACACTTGGTCAGAACCTCATTAGGAACATTCATGCCATGTTTGGTTTCATTCCATTCAGTGGTTCTCTAAAAGAAGACATTTGTATGCATTTCCCATAGGGTCCTATGTTAAACTAAGTCCCCCGCTGGCGGCCATCTTGGATGATGGATCGGCTACAAAGTAACAACACATGGTCAGCATCTTATAAGGAACATTCATGCCATGTTTGGTTCCATTCCATTCAGTGGTTCTCTAAAAGAAGACATTTGTATGTATTTCCCATAGGTCCTATGTTAAACTAAGTCCCCCGCTGTCGGCCATCTTGGATGATGGACCGACTGCAAAGTAACAACACTTGGTCAGCACCTCATAAGGAACATTCATGCCATGTTTGATTTCATTCCATTCAGTGGTTCTCTAAAAGAAGACATTTGTATGTATTTCCCATAGGGTCCTATGTTAAACTAAGTCCCCCGCTGGCGGCCATCTTGGATGATTGATCGGCTACAAAGTAACAACACTTGGTCAGAACCTCATAAGGAACATTCATGCCATGTTTGGTTTCATTCCATTCAGTGGTTCTCTAAAAGAAGACATTTGTATGTATTTCCCATAGGGTCCTATGTAAAAACTAAGTCCCCCGCTGGCGGCCATCTTGGATGATGGACCGACTGCAAAGTAACAACACTTGGTCAGCATCTCATAAGGAACATTCATGCCATGTTTGGTTTCATTCCATTCAGTGGTTCTCTAAAAGAAGACATTTGAATGCATTTCCCATAGGGTCCTATGTTAAACTAAGTTCCCCGATGGCGGCCATCTTGGATGATGGATCGGCTACAAAGTAACAACACATGGTCAGCACCTCATAAGGAACATTCATGCCATGTTTGGTTTCATTCCATTCAGTGGTTCTCTAAAAGAAGTCATTTGTATGCATTTCCCATAGGGTCCTATGTTAAACTAAGTCCCCCGCTGGCGGCCATCTTGGATGATGGATCGGCTATAAAGTAACAACACTTGGTCAGCACCTCATAAGGAACATTCATGCCATGTTTGGTTTCATTCCATTCAGTGGTTCTCTAGAAGAAGTTCAAAATGTAAAAAGTTAACGCCGACGACGGACGACGCCGGACGACGCCGGACGACTGACGACGGACGCCAAGTGATGAGAAAAGCTCACTTGGCCCTGTGGGCCAGGTGAGCTAAAAAGGACAAAAATACCATTCAAGAAAGAAACAAAATTCAGAAAAAAATGGGAACACGGGGGACCAGACTAAAGCTTGAGAATACTATAAAATATAGGGGGACCAGACCGAACCTTGCAAACCTCACGAAGACTATGAAACACGGGGACCAGACTGAAACTAGAGGACGATAAAGAGGCGAACAATACCAAGAGGACGATAAAGAGGCGAACAATACCAATTTCGAGTTGTACACGAATCCTTCTTTCGTTGTTTGTATTCTTTTTTCTTAATAATTCAGGCACTAATAGTTTCAATCAAAACTATGGCTGTTATCTTTGATTCCCTCAAATGTCTTATGTTGGTGAAGCTTGAGAAAAGAGAACCAAAGTTGAATTTTATGCCCAATCAGAAACAAAGTTGATTGTGACTCTTTGTTAACGTCGAAAATATTATCTGCGCTGGATGTACCCTCGTCGCTTTTTTTTTGCAAGCTGGAACGATGTTAATCAAAATAGCATTGATCAATTCAAACAATAGTTTGTACCCTGCCTAACTATAATGCTTGGAAATTAAACGTTTATGAAGACTGCAACTTGCAATTAAATTTCAGCATACAACGTAGCACCAGCATTTGGGACATTCATCATTGGTCAACACCTGGGTTCTTTTTTCAAAATTTTTTAATAGATATAAGAAGATGTGGTATGAGTGCCAATGAGACAACTCTCCATCCAAGTCAAAATTTATAAAAGTAAACCATTATAGGTCACAGTACGGTCTTCAACACGGAGCCTTGGCTCACACCGAACAGTAAGCTATAAAGGGCCCCAAAAAATTACTAGTGTAAAACCATTCAAACGGGAAAACCAACGGTCTAATCTATATAAAAAACGAGAAACGGGAAACACTTATGAACCACATCAACAAACGACAACTACTGAACATCAGATTCCTGACTAACTAAAATTAATCATAATTTATACCGAAATGTTCATGAATTAAATATTTTATTCTCTTACGAAAGTTCTTAAATTGAGTTGCTGACCAATATTCCAATAACGCTGACTGTTTCTCTGAAGTAAAGTTAAGTCACAGTGATTTTTGATTTAATGGTATATTTCAAATGTTCATATATCAAAAGTTTGCAAGTTCACTCCATGAAATGCTTGAGGAAAAAGAGAACGTGTGACGCCATATAAAATAGTATCAAAGATCGAATTGTATATACATTTTAAAAAGGACAATGCACACTTAGTTCGTTGAATAAACATTGTGTAGTTCATACTTAACATATGCATGCATGCATCTAATATCATTATATAATTTTCTATTAGTTCAGTAAGTAAGTTGGTACAAGTGCTGCTTTGGTGAATATGCTAATTGCTTACATCCACTTCATTTGAACTTTGGTGGATTGTTGTCTCATTGGCAATCATACCACATCTCATTATTTTTATATAGACATATTTACCACTGGACGTTAAGCAACTGTCAACGATCCATCACTCAGTGTAAATTAAATCTTTTGTTTAAAAATACAAACACACACACACACATATATATATATATATATATATATATATATATATATTTGTCCTCTTTCTATAATAATATTAATGCTATAAAATATATGAAATGAAATTCATCTCTAAAACAGTGATCACATAATGTACTGTTCAAATTACAAACTAAATTTTTTGCTCTATTATACCATTAACCAGTTTCAATTATAATTTTTCAATTTGAGGTTTTAAGTTTTGTATTTTATCTATGAATTCTGTCTTTCACTGAAAATATCTTGATTATCAAAATTTTTAACTTTGTACATTATTTGGCCTTATAAACTTTTTTTATTCAACATGTTCAAGAGTTACTTATGTGTCTTTTACAGACGAAATTCCAGTCCGACCTAAAAAATTAATCAGGGTATTTGTCATTTATGTGTTAATGGCCTGATTTATTAAGGTCTAGACTGGGGTTCTGTATATCTTTATTCTTCATATATTAGATTGGTTTTCTTTAATCATGTTAATCTTTTGTTAATTTTGTCCATTTTCTCTATTCTTTATATTTCAGCACCTACATGTAATATTCTCTAATATTTATTTTGTTTGCCTACTTTTGCCTATTTATTTTTTATACCTTTATTCTGCACATTTTGCCTGTTATTCTCTTTTTTGTAAACCCCATCTAAACCCTCATCCATGTCAAAAATATTTTCAAGTGGTACACATGTATGCAAAATTCTTGAATTTTAAATTGTAGGCAATTATCAACTCATGAAATTCAGAAACAAATACTTGATACTTCACATTTAAATCAACAACAAGAATGTGTCCATAGTACACAGATGCCCCACTGGCACTATCATTTTAAATGTTCAGTGGACCATGAAATTGGGGTAAAAACTGTAATTTGGCATTAAAATAAGAAAGATTATATTATATAGGGAACATGTGTACTAAGTTTCAATTGGACTTCAACTTCATCAAAAACTACCTTGACCAAAAACTTAAACCCGAAGCTGGACAGATATCATCATTGATGGATGGAGGAACGGACGCAAATTAGACCGAAAAGCATAATACCCAAAGGTGGGACTAAAACATAGGCAAATATCCTTAGGTGACAGATTATTAAATTTATCACTAATGCATATATATCAATCTAAAAAGTTTTTAATTGATCTATTAGAATTTTTTAAAATTATAAAACATGTGAATTTCTGTTTGTGTGTGGTATGCAGTAGCAGATCCAGAATTTTCAAAAGGGGCCCACTGACTGCCTAAAAGGGGGGCCCGCTCAAATCATGCTTCAGTGATTCCCTAAATAATTAACCAAATTTTTTTCAAATAAGGGGGGCACCGGGCCACCTAGCCCCACCCCCTTAATATTCCTCTGGTATGGATATAAAATAAAACTTTTAGGAGACCATACACAAAACAGAAAAGATAACAATTATTGGCATTAAGTATGAAATACTTACAATAAACTTTTCAAATTCTCTCCCTGTATGTCATTGTGAACATCTAAATAAATACTGTGTATTCTAATCCTTAATTCTTATGGTTTTACTTTTATTTACACTAATAGACCTACTCCATTATACTTTATTATGTCCATTGAACCAATGTGGTGAGTATATTTATATGATAACATTTACTTCTGTTTTTATGTTTAAGCAAAATACACACAAGTAAATATGGCCTGTTTTTATCCAAAGATCTAGGGAAGACATAAAATGAATTTCTCTTTTATCTCATTGGTTACTATGGATTCATATTGATGTCATGACCTGATTACTTGGACATCATAAAATGTGTAGAGGAATATAAAATGTTGAAAATCATCATGAATACACTACTCTCAGTCTCTTATTTTTATTACTTTTTTTTATTACTATTGTTTTTGTGGTATTTTTGTGAAGAACCATGCAGTGGAGGAAAACAGTTCAAAGAAGAAAATGTCAAGCTAATTAATTTCACTTTGAAGTTTAGATACAGTAATATAATATAAAAAGATTATGTCAACGATTCTCTTTCAAATATTTCTTTAAAAGTTCAACAACAGTGGTTATGAAATTTACACATATCATTCCCATATTATAAATTAATGCATATAATGACTGTATACATATGAAATTCTATCTTGTAATAACTGGTTCAGGACAGTTTGAAGTGAAACACTTTTATGAATATGTTGTCGCATGTATATATACATATGTGTACCTTAACTAGATGAAAATAAATGATCTTATGTATGTTTTTTTAATAGTTCTTTACTAATTTCTATTTTTTTTTTAATTGTATATTTTAGCTGCACTAATTATATATATAAGTAAAATTAGGTATTAAGCTTAAATCCAAGGCAATAAGCTAACGCCTAGGCATAAGTTATTGACGGCAATTTTCAGGCATTAGGCTTATTTCCTGAAATCTGCAATGATTATTCAACCTATTGCCAAACATCATTTCAGGCAATAAATGAGCTTTAGGATATTTGCTTCATCTTCAAATGACTAGGACTCTCGCGAGCCTGTGTCGCTCACCTTGGTCTATATGCAATATATTCAACAAAGGACACTCTCCAACATTGTAGACAAGAATAGAATTAATGACAAAAATCTCTGGGTTTTTTTTGTATCTTATATTGCTGATCATTGAAGTCTGTTTAGTTTCTCTCTATCTTCATGATCTTATTTAGCTTTTGCTCCAAACACAAAAGAGTAAAAATCTCCTATAAAGAGTAACAGTCTACTAATTATATCAGCATAATTTGACTTATTAGTAGTTCGTCTTGCTTATCATTTTTGATTATTTAAGTTTCTATCTATCTATTAATATTTTTTATCATATAGAGCAAAAAAATGGTAAACATCGTAATTAAAGGGCAATAACTCCAATAAGGA